CCCCCTTCTCACATGAATAGTAGAGGCTAAGTGGGTTCAGTGCAGTTGGTACTCACGACTATCAGCTAAAAATAACTGCAATAAAATTTCAGAATTTCATCTAAATTGACAATTACCATCTAGCACGTCTTTCCAAATGTTTCCATAATGCTTTAGTTATCTGAAACAGATGATAGCTTATATTTGAGGCTGGGCTTTATTGCCGGAACACTGCTGCTTACAACAGGTAAACTATTAGGAAAGCTGTACTTGGCCATAAAATGCAGAAAGCTTCCACATCCCCAAAGCTTCCCTTTAAGCACTAGTATTTTAATTTTTCCGTCCTATGGAAATAATTTTTAAATTGCTTAGAACATATTTCTGCCTTGATACACATCATTTTGCAGCAACTCAACCATCACAATGACTTAATCTATTTTTAAGTGAATTACGGCAGTAAATGTCACAAAGTGGTAAAAGTTGGCAAGTGATCTAAAACACCTAGAAAGCCAGTGGGTTTTTGTGGTCTTCCTTATCTGTTCTATGCAATCCCATCTGCCTGCTCAATGTCAAGGAGAACTGAATTCACATTCCTATCAGAGAGTCCTCCTGCAGCAAGTGCTCCTCTCATTTTATATAAACTGTGGTAACACTATATGCCAACTGTTATTGAGGAATTACTTTACATCCTACCCAACACTTTCTATGCATGATTTTAATCTATTTGTGTTTTCAACAACCCACTTTACAGATGCAGAAAACAAGTAGCTAAAGATCAGTTTTACAGTAGTAATATGAAGATTTGAACATAGCGTGTTAGACTCCAGAGTGTAAGAAGGTGCCCTCCTCTCTGTAACACACACACCCCTACTCTAGCCCTCATACACATCAACTTTCCTCCCATAAATGGGCAAAGTTGAGCAACCTTGAGTGAAAGAGACAAAATTTCAGTTCTCAATGCTCCCCTAAGTAGTTCAAGTTATTATGCAAGAATGGCCTGCTCCAGGTAAAAAGTTGTCTAGCTCTGTATCTCACAGAACCAACTTTGAAGTGAAAAGGGTGCTTCTGATAAGAACAGAAACATCTCCGCGCTCCAGCGCTGTGAAAGAACCTCTATTAAGGGAACCAGTGCTGATCAATTTCACTAACCTACTTGGTGCCTTCTGAGTTTTCTAGCAAATGCCTCCGAATGTGGGAAATTGCGTCTTTTAAAACAGCCAGTCCTCTATTATTGTTGTGAGGTCATTATAGTTCAGCTTGGTCAGGTCTCTGATTTCAATAGCGGGGTGGTGTCTGATGACAAGCGAATACTAACATCTTTCAAATGCAGATTTCAACATTTCACTGCCTAAATGTAGATTTCTTTTACAAGATTGTGATCCTACACATTTGTTTTTCAAATATATCCTTAGTGATTTTTTTCTCTTTAACTTTTCCCATTTCCTGACTGTTTTAAAAAATAATAATGTCTTGCTCACTTCTCCAAACAGCCTTGTGGACAATGGATTTAGTATGTCTATTTGCACAACAATGACAGTGGATCTTTGGCTTGCTGGGTTAAGGTACTCCCCAAATAGTAAAAGAAAGCTGAAAAGGCAGTGATCCAATTAGGACTTCTCTTTTCTGGGCAAATACAGTCTCAGCAGGAAACTGCAAATTAAATATAGGATAGGCACCGAGGAGAAGGAATGTTGCTCTGCCTCACACGGTTTCCAGCCAAAATTCCTTCATTCCATCTGCACTGGCACAGATGATCAAGTTCAACTCTGCCTTGAAATCACAAGGACAGGGCTCATCTGAGCTCATCCTTGTCCTCTCTTCCCTGCACTAGACAAGACCCCTTGGACAAAATATTCCTTCTATATCTGATTGAGGTATTTATTGGACACACATAACACGAGGCTCTGCAGCATGAGCTTGAATGTCTGGTTGAATTAACAAGAAAAGGAAAGCATGAGAACTGGAAGGCATCATCCAACAGGACTGCGAGCATTGTTTTTTTCTCTGTTGGTGACCATTTTTAGTTAAATCTGCATAGGCATTAAGTGACAGAAGCCAAAAACAACAGAAGGTTGACTGCCTCCGAGAAGCTTCCAGAAGGAGAGCTCCTGCCTGGCTGTAAGGGCTTTCCTGCTGCCTGTGTCACAGGGCCCTGCTGGCAAGTAGCACACCTGGTAGCTCCTCCTTTCCCTTCCGAGCATCTAGTGACATTTTTCTTCTCATTCTGCATCATACACTCAGCGAACTTGATGCTCTCTTTATGACTAAAGGCGCATTTTGAGAACCACTTTCTGAAGGGCTCAGCAGTATTCCAAAATCTAGAGCAAGGATCTAAAATTAAATGGTCATAGGTTACTTAACGTTAAGGAGCCCTGAGCATCTGAATAACAGCCACTAATTGCTTGCTATTTTAATAAGCTGGTATTAGTTTTAATGAACCAAGTTATTTTAAAAAAAATTGGAGCACACATCAAATGGTGAAGATGAGTTTGGGCTGAGTGGAAAAGTTCTCTTGGGACTTAAGGCCGAGGCAGAACAGTTCCACCTGACACGAGTTCCTTCCTATGGCTTAACAGATTATGTCTCTGCCTTTTATACACGTAAGAGTCATCCCTGTTTCCAGGATTCCCTCTCATCACAGTGATGAGGCTGATGGGTTTGTGCTGCTACAAGTTCAAAGAAACCATAGAGCATGATGGACATTCACTTCTCAAAAACAAAGAGCTTACTGAACAGAAATGGCTCTCACTCAAAAGCTGCAGCAACTTTCTCAGTGATGGCACTGAGAATTTTTAGGCTGCTAAAAAAATAAATTTCAAGGATGCCTCTAGCTTAGCTGCACACATATAAATCAACAGGTAACCAAATACATGCTGCTTGGATGATGTTTCCAGCAATGAGCAATTAAATTAGAAGAAGCTGATGAAATGGTAGCTTTAGGCTCTGCCTTTAAACAAAAGTTTTTAAATTAGAATTCCCGAACTGTGTAGTAGAATGCTGCATTTAATTCTATGGGCATTTGTTACTGGAATATGAGTTCATAGCCTTCAAGAGTCTTCACGAATTAAGAGAACAACAACATTAAGAAAAACTTTTCCTTTCTGCCCCTTCCCTCCCTCCTTTCTGTTCTCCCATTTTTTTCATAACCCTCCTTTCTGTTCTCCCATTTTTTTCATAAAGACCTAAGGCAATAGTGATGAGTAGCTGATATTTAGAAACCAAGCATCTTCTGCAGGAATAGTGTGTACCTTCCAGTCAGTGTGACATCTGTAGATAAACACACAGCATGCTAAGTTCATGTGACACATGATTATTCTTATTTTGATGACTAAAACAAGGAAAGGAAGTAAGTGGTAAGCTTAGCTCTCCTTCAAATTCATGTTTTACTGGTCACATCATACTGGACTTATTTTTCACTGTTTCTCACACTGACAACATCCTAAAATGAAATCATGTGGTGAAGAGAAAAGATGACCTTCCCTCCACAAAAAAAATCTCAGGTTTGTTTTCAAATCCTGTATGTCATAATGTTTGCAATCCTTTTCTTCATCACTGCATCTTCCCCACACCAGGACCCATGTTTGCAGTTGAGGTTAGCAACCATTGATGAATCCCCTAAAATGCCCCTAAGATGAGCTAGAAACTGTGTGTTGGGACTATCAAAAGAGAATGACAGGGCTCCTGCTGTGACATTTATAGCTCACATGCGTGGGAAGCAGAGTTCATTGGTGATTTACTTTCAAGTTAAAAGAACATTGAGGACTTCAGGAAAGATGTCTGGATGGTCAAGAGGCATATGAAGTCCTGTTCATCACATTGCCATCAGGGAAAAGCAGATTCACAGCATGGGATACCACTTTCACACTCACTAGAATGGCCATCTTCAAAAGAGACACGTTTTCCTCTTGAAATAATTGTGTTATTTCAAGCAAAATTAAAAAGTATTGGAGCCAAAATAAAAGGATGGGGACCAATCGGAACTCTCATACAATGCTGCTGATACACAGCACCTATTCTGGAAAATGAACTGACAGTTACTTCCAAGTTAGAGTTACCATACATCCCAGCAATTTCATTTCTGAGGCTATAACCAAGAACACTGAGCACCTGTTCACATAAAAACCTGAATGTCCACAGCACCGTTATTTCTAACAGGCAAACAGTAGGCATAGCCTACTGCCCATCGGCTGCTGAATGGGTAACAAGACGTGGCTCCTCCAACAGCCAAGAATGAAGTTAATAAAGGAGGAAGCTGGAAGCAGTGATGATAGTGAGGGGTACATACACTTCCTTGTTACAAGCCATTCCTTTAGTTTTTCATGTGACTCCAAAGCAGAAGACTATTACAGTCATCAGGCCTAACATGTATCAAGTGCCATTATGAGAAAGCATTTCCTTGCTTTAGCTTTACTTGGAGATGAAATGATGCTCTTATTGATTCATCAAATGGAAGATGAAGAATAATCTATTACAATGCCCTATGCACATCAATTATTCAGGGAGAACAGAAGCCAACAGGGATGCTATCATCTTGTGGACAAGGAAACAAATGGCTCTCAGCCTTGGAATCATCCAAACAAGGCCATCTGTAGCACCTTACACTATGACGTCATCACAAAACAGCAATTAACAGACAAATGGCATAAAAGATGACTCATGTAAACTGTTAATCAGTCTTTTCATGTGCATACTTATATACAGTACAACCATAGAAGTTAAAGACAATCACACAGGATATAGAAAGCTCTGTCTCCCAATACCAGTGCTTATCCATTTTCACTGCAGTTAGCACTTCAGTTCTTCTAAATGTATTTACATACTGTAGACTTAGTTGTGACATACAAAATATTTATTTACATGTTGCAGATTCTGAAAACTGATCAGCCATATTTACAGACATGATTTCCCTCTCCGCCCACACTCTCCTTTAATAACGATGTTTTGGGGAATCGGGTGTAGTATTGGCGATCCCTGAGTGACTGGACACGCTGGGTCGCACACCTGCAGAGTCATACACTTACCGGGCTTTCCAAGGCCTGATTTCAACTCCTTCTTATAGCGTGCTGACTGGATGCTTCCTTCACCAACCACTCCAGTTGTGCACTTCTTCCTGGTAAAGTCTTCATCGCTCCCAGGGCAAAAGCTGATGGGGCTGTTTCCCGTGTCTGAGGGGGTCTTCACTGGTGATACAGACTGGCTACTAGGACAGCCAGTGTCATCTAGAAGACAGGAAGCACAAGGACATGAGCGAGGGCAAGGAAAAGGTGAGCCCTGTGTCCATACATGCGGGTATGTACACACGCACTCACACACATGGGCTCTGCTCATGAGGGCACAGGGCAAATTCTTTGCGTGACTCTCCTTTTATTTGTCCAGATTTCGGCCACTCATTACAAAAGGAAGATATCAACTTATCTCAGGGAGATATTTTAAGGAATATTTTATAAGCTTTAAAATGTATTTATTTATTTAGAATGGCAGAGAGACAGAGTTAACAGCTATTTTTACTGCAAGCATTTCTGAAATGTTCATCTTGTTAAGGCCTAGAGATATGTCTGTTTCAATATTTTATGTAGGATACTCCTGAGTCATAACTCTCCATAGATTTTTGGGTGAGTTTAGTAATAAGGATCCTATCAGTCCAAATTTAGGGTCATTACTGTGAATGTTTTTTTAAAGATTTATTTATTTTTATTTCAAAGGCAGATTTTGCAGAGAAAGAAGGAGAGATAGAGATATTCCATCTGCTGGTTCACTCCCCAAATGGTGGTAAGTCCAGAGCTGAGCCGATCTGAAGCCAGGAGCCAGGAGCTTCTTTCAGTGTGGGTATAGGGGCCCAAGGACTTGGGCCATTCTCCACTGCCTTCCCAGATCATACACAGGGAGCTGGATCAGAAGTGGAGCAGCCAGGACTAGAGCTGGCACCCATATAGGGTGCTGGTGTTAAAAACAGAAGAATGGCCTGTTATGCCACCATGCTGACCCCTACTGTGAACTCTTTAGAGTTGTTTATGATAAGAAAACAGTTACTTCAACATTATTAACCATATCCAGTTTTTTGATAACTTGACCCATCAATTGGTTAATGGAGTTTGATAGACCTTTAAATTATGAATCCAAGGAAACAGAAAAAAGTGATCTTGTTTTATCACATACAACCAATTCAAAATACATCAATGACATATATTTCTATCCATTTTGTATATAGACTGGTAAAATGAAGATGACAAATAAGAAACATTATCTTAACTTTCAGCTTAGAGATGATTACGGTTCACAATTTTAAGCCAACATGCATGAGATGCAGTGACCAAACAGAGGTTTTTGAGGCATCCAGCAAAGCTGTACTGTGGACTACTACACATGCTTTCTATATTTCTTCAAGTATTTATGTGAATTCATGTGTACCTTAATGAGGAAATTATTATTGGAATTTAAAGCCAAATCCTACATAAACTGGTCAGTGCTATTCATTAACACTTCATCACACAGAAGTACTTTGCTGTCACAGTCATTTTGGTAACTAAACAGGTTGAAAATATAAATAAAGCACTAATAATTTTCATCAATATGAAATTAAGGGAACTAAAATAATTTGACATTTATCAAAGGCTATCTTAAAACTCCATAGCTGGAATAAAGACAGAAAAAGAAGTAGGCCTGAATAAAATATGCTGATGACTGAATTAAAAGGACCAGAATCCACTGAAAAAAAGAATTGTCATTGCTTTATTTTTGACCTTTATTCATTTTTTATTATGGAATATCCCAGTTTCTTTGACAAAGTGAACTTGCACTTACCAAATGATTTCTATCTCTTGACGTCTGTCTTTGACTTTAGGACCTATCAGGTAGTTATGGCCTTGGGGGTCCAACTGTAGAAGAAGGCTGCATTTCGGTTCACAATTATGCCTGCTGTCTTTGTCACTTCCTGAACACGCGGTGCCCTTCCCCATGTCTTCAAGAATTGCCAGCCCGGAGCAAGGTGAGGGGAACCCGCCTGGCTGCTCCTGCCAGACTGTTTCAGCACCTACTTTCCCTCAAGTTTCCATCCAAGGAAATCTGAGCTCCTCTCTGAAGGTGAAAGGCTGCTAATTATTTTGACACAGTTCAGCAGTTTTACAAGGCTCAACAGGTCTGCCCGTAGCCTTAGGGGAACTTTACTTCTGAGCAGATAAACTCAAATAAACACAGTCAAACCATTCAAAACTATCTCTTACCTTTAGAAGTATTTCCCTGTGAGTCAGTTCTAAAATTACTCCTTTGGAAAAGCTGGTGTCTCAAATAAATAAAATTCCATGCCTGAGAATGTCAACCCTAAAATTCTGACTCAAAAGCGATGACATCACACAATTTCTCAATGTTTGGTGCATTGTCATTTTCTAGAGTTATATAAAAGAATATGACCATAGCTTGTTTGGGGCACTAGTATTTTCGAGCACTAAGGGCTAGGGTCTGGTTAAAAACTTGGAGCTGGGCGCTGGGGTTATGGGGTAGCCGATTAAGCCTCTGCCTGTGAAACAAGGAGCTCAACTGAGAACTGGCTAGTCTTGGTTGTGTCCCTTCTGATCCAGTTCCCTACTAATGCTCCTGGGAAAGCAGAAGATAGCCCAGGAGCATGGACTTCTGCCAAACATGTGAGAAACTTTATGTAGAGTTCTAGGCTCCGGGTTTTGGCCTGGCTCAGCCCTGGATGTTATGGCTATTCAGAGCAGTGAATCAGTGGAATGAAGATCTCCTTCTCTGTCTCTTCCCCACTATCACTAGGCATCTTATATTAGTTAATTTTTTTAAAAAGATTTATTTATTTCTTGGAAAGTCAGATATACAGAGAGGAGAGACACAGAGGAAGCTCTTCCGTCCGATGATTCACTCCCCAAGTGAGTGCAATGGCTGATGCTATGCCGATCCGAAGCCAGGATCCAGGAACTTCTTCCAGGTATCCCACACGGGTGCAGATGCAGGGTCCCAAAGTTTTGGGCCGTCCTCGATTGCTTTCCCAGGCCACAAGCAGGGAGCTGGATGGGAAGCGGGGCTGCCGAGATTAGAACCGGCGCCCATATGGGATCCTGGCGTGTTCAAGGTGAGGACTTTAGCTGCTAGGCCATGCCGCTGAGCCCCTAGTTAATTTATTTAAAGAATAACGGGGAGCTGAAATTATTTGGAGTGGTGGTAGTACAGGAAAGGTAGTCACAACTTTTCACTGGAATGTGGTACTGCTCCATCACCTCAAGGGGTGAAGAATCAGGGGACGAATAGCTAAATAACTCCTTGACCATTTCTGATGGCATTTCAGTAACTACGTAAAAATCTCTTAATTGTTTACCATTGTACTTCTTATTCAACCTGGAAACAACAGGAATATGGGACACGATCTTTCATTGGTAAAACAAATCCAAAGTAAGAACTGGCACTGAATCAACTCAGGGGCATTATACAAAGTCTCCATGTTGACATAATTTATAAAGAATCCCAAAGGAATTGGGTGTATGTGTGTCACAATGCTCAGTTCTTATAAATTGGCACATGTGTTAAAGTAAATTCACACCAAAGAAATCAGTGAGTCATCAGAGAAACCTAATTTGCCTGTTTTGCCAATTGACACCAACAGAATCAGAAGGATCCAGAAAGGGCAAAGCCATGAATTTACTTGCTACCCACGATACATTTTAAGTTAACTATGATTGCAGCAAACTCACAGAACCTCCTGTGCCCATCATCTGGTCACCTGTGAAGCTGAGGTGGTTCTGTTTTCAGCAAGTCTTGCTGAAGGCCAGTTCTCTGCTCTCCTTGCCTGGCTTTCTCCTCACAATCACAGATGAAAGCTGACCACCAGTTTGATGAAGGTGATGCTTTGTTTCCAAAATTTGGTGTGAAATTCTCTTAGCTCACATTTACTTGCAGACTCCAAGAATGATGACAACAGACTAACGTCCCCTCATTGTTTGTATATAATAGCACTGACCTACAAGTGGACCCAACACACAGTAGATTCACTGATTAAACCTGCTTCAGCTAAACATTTTTTTAAAAAGAGGCCAGTTGTTTCCTGTTACTAACCTGTCAGCTGAGCCCTGTAGAAAACACAGTTTTACAAAGATGCTGATGGGGCCAGAGCTGTAGTGGAATGAGCTATGCTGCTACCTGAAGCACCATCATTCTACAGAAATGCTGGTTCAAGTCCTAGCTGCTCCAATTCCAATCCGGTTCCCTGCTAATGTGTCTGGAGAAGCAGCAGAGGATGGCCCAGATGCCTGAGCCCCTGCACCACTGCAGAATTCTGGCTCTGTCTGTTTTAGCCTTGGCTGCTACAACCATCTGTGGAGTAAACCGGGAATGGAAGATCTTTCTTGTCTCTCTGTCTCTCTCTCACTCCCTCTTCCCCTCTGATTCACCACACCTTGTAACTTTTGACTTTTAAACAAACAAATAAATCTTCAAAAAAGACTCAGTTTACTAGACAGGGAGTGATTAAAGCATACATCACACCCATACGTACATGCACATAGCTCTTACAGAGTCGAGTTTTTCACATTCCTTTCCCTGTTATTTATGATAAACATAATTTTGTTAAGAAGAAACAAGGCCCCTTCACAGGTTCTACACCATGTGACCCATACTAAACTATGGGATAATTTCCTTCTGTGGTCAATGATTTTAAATCCCATCCAGGTGGGTCCAGGGTGCCCTCCAATAAAACTCAAGTCAAAGGGCTTTCATCAAGACCACATCTGAATGATGACTTTTAATAATGAAGGACGCCAAGTTATATTTTGTGGGGCTCAGGGGCAAAGAGGTCACTAAGTCAACAAAATGGAGGCTAACAGTCACGGTCACTGGGTTACACGTGGCGAGCAAGATGGCGGCCAAGGACAGAACCCTGGGTGTGAACCAGGGCAGGGGTCAAGTCGTTTCAGAGAAAGACTGATTGGCCAGGACCATTTTGCTCACAGGCCCCTGGCCTATGGGAGGTGGCTTCCACAGTCATGCAGGTGACAACTGGTTCCTAGTTCTCTCCTCCTAGGATTCCTGGCCTGAGGCTATTCACTACTCTATATAAGAATCTGTACTCTCCAAATAAATCAGAACTGCTTAGACAGAACCTCTGTCCACCTGTTTCTTGTACACCAGGAGGCTGGATGGCAGGCAGCAGGCTCACCCCCTCTGAGAACGGGGTACTAGAGGAATCTGTGGGGAAGATCCTGCAATATTCCCTTTT